TCTGCCCGGGGGAGGCAGATGGGGACAAAGCCCCGCCGAGTTTAGAGCTTTGGCCTTCGAAGCAGCCCAGACTTCACAGTGCCCGGAAGGTATTTCGTTTTTGAAACTCTTTCTGTCCATCGCCGGACACCGGTGCGTCCCGGCCGCTGGACGCGTGTGACAAAACATTGTCACATCAAAGTCTCTTCGGTCCTCTAATTCCCCGTCCCTAAAAATCACCGTGTGGCTCTTGGCCTGAGCGCGTTCCCCATGGAAACGTAACGAAAAAGCGCTTTAGGGATTACCTGGACGCGTAAAAAAACTATTTCTGAAGCGCAGAAAACCGGCGGGTCCGAAACAAGCGCAAATAACGCGGCCGCTGCCGGGGGAAGGGGAGAGGGCGACGGGAAGGTCGGAGAATTCCCCCATCGCTCTCTTCACCAGATAACCCGTCACAGTTACACGCAGGGGGAAAAAAAAAGTTACAGGCAGCGTAAAATTAAAGCTTTTCATTTATCTGCCCAGCTCCCAGCTTTCTCTTCAGCCGGGGGGAAAAACACTTCCAGCACCCGAGGTGCAAGAAGCAGCAAAATTGTCAGATTCCAGGCACGGAGCCCAGGGCAGGAGGGAAAACTCCAGGGAGGCATTTTCTCTCCGAGTCCTCCTGCCCGAGTTATCCCACCCGAGTCACCGGCGGAGGAGAAAAGAGGCGACCCCGGGCGCGGGGCTGGGGTGCCCAAACCGAGCAGCTCCGGCGAGGTTTGTCCGGCTCTGCCTCAATTCCTGTAATAAAGGGAAAGCTCTGTGGTGCTGGCCGGCTGTGCCCTGACTCTCGGCTGCATCCGCGGTTTGCACTGCGGGAAGGGGAAGGATTATTCCCTAAATTATTATTCCCTGAATAGCCGGCGGGGTGAGCGGGGGTGCTGGCAGGGCCACCCGGCTGTCCTGGCTCGGGGCCGGGCTTGTCCCGGAGGAAGCCCCGGGCTCGCAGGGCAGCGCTCCCGAGCACCGGCCACAGCAGAGCCCCCTCTGCAAGGCCGGCTTCACGTCAAGGTCAAAACTATTTATTTTTGAAGGCCGGAAAAGGAGAGCTTCGTTAGAGCTTGAAAGGACTGGGGGAATGAAAATAATAATAATAAAAAAACCCCAAGTTTTTGAAAAATGGGGGGAAAAAAGATAAGAAGAAAAGGTTTTAATTGCGGTGGACTGGAGTGTCTGGACAGCTCCAAAGCCTTTTCCCTCTGTAGAATTCCAGAGTGAGAGCAAAACGTTCCTTGGCTCCAGCCGCCCCACCAGCCCCCAAAAGTCTCCCGGACCCTCGGTGGGACCCCGACAAGCACGGCAGCATCGCCATCCCTCCAGCCGGGATTTATTCGGCCGGGGCTCGCAGCACCGCTTCCCAATGGTTTGGAAAGAATTCCTGCCCGAAAGAGTCCGGGGAGCCCTCGGGAGCCGCAGGGATCCCGGGGTCCCGGGGGGAACCGGGAGATTGGCACCGCTTCTCGCAAGGAAACCCTAATAGGCTATTTCTGGACTACTGGCTCTTAACAAATCTATAGCACCTGAAGTGTTAGCACTCAATTAGTGACAAGGACTCAAACCCCAGCGTTTACTGGCGAGGTATAAACAGAGTCCTCGGGAGATAGCTGGGAATTAGAACGGGAGGGGGCCCTGGACATCTTAACCGACTGGGATTAAGAGGAAAACTTTTTTAAAAGGTACCATCTCTCTCGCTCTAAACAGTCCGAGGTGTCGAAAGCTCAGAGGGAGAGGGGATGTGCCCCCTGGAGCTAATTGCGGGGTTGGGAATTTTTTTCTCTTTGTTTGGTTGGTTTCAGCAAAAAAAGATTTCGGGGTCTTCTTTTTTTAAGAAAAAATAGAAAGCACACCAGAAAAAAAAAAAAATACAAAACCACACTAAACCCAACACTAATCGCATTTAGCGATCCCGGAGAGAAGCAGCGAGCGGGTGTGGACGGCAACTCTCGCCTGAGAGAGGCCAGGGCAGGCTCAGCCCCGAGAGAGCAGCGAGAGCAACCTGCAAACAGCGGGGGACAGAGCAGGACACCCCCACTTTCCCCTGACAGCCAGGAAAATAGCAGCGGGTTTTTCACCCTGTCTGCCCCACTTACACCTCTGGGGCCTGGGGCTGCAGAGAGCGTTTCTGGGCGCTCCTCGGGGTCCTGCCTCGCTTTACATTTACTATTATTATTATTATTATTATTATTATTATTATTATTATTATTATTATTATTAAAATAGGTAAAAATATAAACATAAATTATTATATAGTATATATTATTAATATTAATATTAATATTAATATTAATATTACTACTACTACTACTACTACTACTACTACTACTACTAATAATAATAATAATAATAATAATAATAATAATAATAATAATAATAATAATAATAATAATAATAATAATAATAATAATTTCCTCGTGTTACGTAAACGCGATCAAAAACGAGTTCGCAAAAGTTAAAAGTGATGCTGGGGATACCCGGGCAGGTCCCCCCGGGCTGGGCAGGACCCTGCGGGCTGTGAGCAGTGTTCGGAGCGGGGGGAAGCGGTCCCCACTGTCCCTTCGGCTGGACAATATATAATTATAATTACTCGCCGGAGCCTGGCTTCAGCGGGCTGCTGGAGAGCCCCGGGAAGGGGAGAGAGAGGCTGGCAAAGGGGGGAGGAATGGGTGCTGAGCCCCGACCCGGAAAGTCCGTGAGCTGCTGTATGTCAGTAACTTATTCATCAATCAGCCGGACACAGAGCAGACCTGGCCTCTCTTCGCGGAGTGTTTGCTTTTTCACCAATTATTGCGGCCCTGCAGCTCTTTTTGTTGATACAGTAGTTCTAAAAAGTGCTAATGTTCATTTATCAGGGGGCCGAGCCCGGGACTCCCACTAGTTGTGATTCTTCCAAAAATATAAACACGAAGAGAAGGGCTAAGGCTAAAGCCCCCATTTGTTTCTAAACCGCGGTATTAAAAGTGATGCATTGTTGAAGATAAAGCGGAGATAACGCTGTCTGTCTCCAATGAATGTCTCCCCGACGCATTAATGACATTCCAAATGATAGCTCCGGCTTATCGTTCAATTAATCACTTCCACCCTCTGCGGCCGGTCCCACATCGATGGGCAGCCTCCGTGTGACCGGGGGGCTGCAGGGAGCCCGACAATCCTCAATGAATCCCGGACTGTCGGCCGGCAGCCCCCGCCCCGCCGGGATGCGCTCCGAGCCCAGGTCGGGCACCGGGAAACCTCCGGGCCACGAACTGGAAGGGATTTTTGGCCCGGGATAAGGGGAGGGAGCGCTGGAAGCTGTTTCTCCCGTCCCGTAGAATGGGGGATGTCGACGCTGCTCGGGGTTTGGGGAGGATTTGGGGATCACTTCGTTCTTTTAGCCGGTATCCAACCTATCCCTATAAACTTGTCATGAAAAGGAGGTAACGAGGTTAAGAAAGCGCCAGGGGTGCCTCAAACACTCTGCAAAGTTCCCTTCAGGCCCCTTTCTCGGGGCTGCCTCCACATTCCCGGGCACTTCACCCTTTCTCCTGCATCAGAGGAGCCTCCATCCCCATCCCCCGGAGTTATTTCTCAGGGAAGTCCGCAGCAAACGCAGCCGTGAAGATGGAGCTGGCCGCTCGGCAGAGCCCTCCCCTCATTAAATCGCAATATTTCAGGCCTCCCGTTCACAGGGATCGCTCCCACTGTCATCGCCAGACCCGGGGCTGCTTCGCCAACAAAGCGCTCCCAGCACAGCCGCGGATCCAGAATTCAAAATATCCAGAATTTAAAATATCCAGAATTCAGCTCCCCGGAAGAGAGCCCGGGGTGCCAAGACACAAAATCTCGAGGGGCAGCGGCGGCTCCGTCCTGCTGGGGGTGGCCAGGTGCTCACCTTTCCACCTTCCTGCGGGAGGAGAAAGGATTTGCACAGCTCTGAGAGCTGGGTTCATCCAAGGGCCCCCCCGAACTCACCGCATCCCTTTAGGGTTTCTCTGCTCCGCTCCCACCGTGCCCATCCCCGTGCCTCTCTCAGCCGGGCGCTGCAGAAAGGAGATTCTTTATTTATTTCTTTTTCTTTATTTTATTTCTTTATTTTATTTATTTTCTCTGCAGAAAGGAGATTCTTTATTTATTTCTATTTTTTTTTTCTCGCTCCCCCCCAACTCACAAAACCCCGAACCGCCCCTCCGCTACCTGCGACTTTGCAGTTTTATTTTAGCGGCTCCTTTACTTACTCCTCCCTTACCCTGGTGTATTTTGCAACACCTTCACCCGCGCTTGTTTTGGTTGATTTTTAATTTTTTTCCCCCCCAGACAGTGCTTCTTCTTTGTTTGAAAGCTTTACAAACAAACGAGAGCAAAACCCAATCGGCATTTCCCTCTCCAAAGGCAGGCAGGGGCTGCTCAGGGTCTCTCTCTTTTGCAATCACTGTACATCTGTATAAACCCTGAGCGCGGATTTCCCCTTGAACGCTCTTCACACAGCACTGAACTCCCGTTTTTTAGTTCCTGCCATCGGATATTGCAGAATACTAAAAGCGAAACCTCCGTTCTCTCGCTTAAAAAAAATAAAAAAAACTAAATCAGCACATATTTGGTTGATGGTTTCCTCCCGGCTTGTTTATTTAATCTGACTGTATGATAGATAGCGTCAGACAGTGACTTTGTACGCATTAGGCCATTCTCTTTTTGATTTTTTTTTTGTTTCAAATGGATGAACCAACTCGCCGCTGCGAAGCTGGATAAATTCAGTGCCGCCCCTTTAAAAGAGCGGAGCTGTTTTTGAGATGTATTACTATATTAGGTGACATGGAACTTTGCATCTCTCATACCATCACCGCAATGTTGGCCAATAGAAAGCTAAAGTCACCCAAAAAGCGCCTGGTCCCTCCTTCCCTCGCCTTATGGTCCGCTCGTACCTGCCCGCAGTGCACAAGTCAGGGCTACTCTCGGGAATGCTATGTGCCCCCTCCGGGAGCCCACGCTCCACCACTGCTCCTCCTCGGCCTCTCCCCACCTCCTTTTCCATGACCCTGGGCTGCGGCCGCTGTCCCGCTGTCCTCCGCAATGTTTCCTAGCCCTGTGACAACCACCCCCTTCTCGGTGAAGGATATTCTGAACCTGGAGCAGCAGCAGCAGCAGCACAGCGGCCTGGGCTCCATGGAGCTGGCCTCGCTGGCCTCCCCGTCCTGCATGCTGGCCACCTTCAAGCAGGAGGGGTTCGGCTCCGAGCCCCCCGCCCTGCCCGAGGAGCTGCCCGAGCCTCCCCCCGGCAAAACCACGGCCGCTTTCCCCGGCTCCTACTACGTGAAAAGCTACGTGGAGATGGACTCGACCAAGGAGGCCAAGGCGGACAAGAAAGGTAAAGCCAAGGGCTCGGGGGAAAAGGGAGGGCAGGGGGATGCTAAAGGATATTATTTATTTAACCCCTGGAGGGGTTGGGAACTCGGCCGGCGGTCCCCAGGGCTGCGGGGAAAGAGGGGACAGAGCGGGGTTGTGCTCGGTCTCGTCTTTATCCCCTGGGATAAGGTCATCTTTATCCCGGGGAGGGTCCCGCGGGTCCCGGAGACTCCCGGGCGGGGCTGGCGCTGTGTCCCTGCCCAACGGGACAGGCAGAGCTGCAGGGTGACAAGCGAGGCCTCGGCTTTGGACACAAAGCAGGTGACAAATCCGATTCCTGGCTCGCTCGGGGGTCGGGGTGGGTCTCAGCACAAAGCTACGGTGCTGAATAAATCTGGATAAATCCGAGCTGAGGCACAGGCGAGCGGGACTCACATCAGTGCACGGGACACCGTTGTTTTCAAACAAAAAAGACGGAAAATTTGCTGAAGAGGTACCTAAAGAGCGGGGCCGGGCCGGTCCCGCTGATGCGAGGCCGAGGAAGAGCCAGAGCTCACTCACGTTTCATCCTCTTTATTAAATACTGATTTGTAAATTTTTTGCACAATTTTTTCCTCCCCATTTTTTCCTTCGCCCGTTTATTTCGCTGCAGAGCTGTGCTCCCTACACAAGAGCCTGGAACAGGAGAAAAGAGACCTGGAAGATCCCGAGCGCCCCAGACAGAGGAAAAGGAGGAAACCTCGCGTCCTCTTTTCTCAAGCCCAAGTGTACGAACTGGAGAGAAGGTTCAAGCAGCAGAAATACCTCTCGGCCCCCGAGAGGGACCATCTAGCGAACGTCCTAAAGCTCACCTCCACGCAGGTGAAAATTTGGTTCCAGAACCGAAGGTACAAATGCAAAAGGCAGAGGCAGGACCAGACGCTGGAGATGGTGGGGATCCCTCCCCCGCGGCGGATCGCGGTGCCGGTGCTGGTCCGCGATGGGAAGCCCTGCCTGGGGGAATCTTCTCCCTACAGCTCGCCCTACAATGTCAGCATTAACCCCTACAGCTACAACGCCTACCCCGCGTACACCAACTACAACAGCCCCGCCTGCAACGCCAACTACAACTGCAACTACCCCTCCATGCAGCCCATGCAGCCCTCGGCGCCCGCCAACAACTTCATGAACTTCAGCGTGGGGGACTTGAATTCTGTGCAAAATCCCATCTCGCAGGGCAACGCGGGCATCTCCAGCTTGCACGGGATCCGAGCCTGGTAGAGCCGGCCGGGGATGGAGGGGCCGCGCCTGCCAGCCGGGCTCGGGACATTTCGGGGCTTGGGGAGGGCTCGGCGGAGCATCCCGGAGGGTCTCACGGCTTTGGTGGCCATGGACGGGGGTCGGTGTTTCGCCCGGGGCCAGGCAGGCACCGGAGGGGGATGCCCGCATTTCCCGGCCCCTCTCGCTCCCCTTCCACCCGGGTCTTCACCTTGATAATCCCTTTCCTTCCGTCCTACAAACCAGCCGGTAATTTCGCGTGACTTGTTCCCAACAACACCCAGCCAAGCCCTGCAACTCTCTCTCTTTTTTTTTTTTTTTTAACTCCATGTTAATTATTATTATTGACGTCCACATTTAAAATTTTTGCACTTCCCGTACGGTCCCCGCTGTTCGGTATCTCGGCACCCCCAGGTGTCCCTTGCGAGGCTGCTACTGCCGGCCTGGGCAGGGATGAGGACAGACAGACTCCCGGCCCAGCCGAGGGACACAGACACTCCGGCCCGCCAGGTCCCGTAGGGCTCTGCACTAAAACGTGAATTAGTATGGAAATGCACTGCCCGCCCCTTCCGACGTGTTGCCCTTTGCTGTACGAGCTGACGGAGATCAGCGAGTTGTCATTAAAGAGAGTGGCTGAACCTCGGCGTCCCTGGCGTTCTTGAGCATCCCGGGCATCCCGGGAGCGGAGCCTTTCCCTGCCCCGGCTTTGTGCAGCCCCTTCTCCGTGTGTTCGGCATTCCCGTTTTGCCGCCTACAAACGGTGTTTGTGTTTTAAGGAATTTTAAAAATCATTTTCAAGCCGTTTTTCGAGCTGGCAGCCTGGCAGAACCGCTAAGCACCGGCCCGTGGCGCCGGGCTGGGGTCGGCACCGACCCCGCAGTTCCCAGTCCCCGGCAGCGTGGGGCTGATTTATTCCCTGCAGGGAAATCATTGCAAGGAGAGCTAGCGACACCCCAAATCATAACCCAAAGCCCCCAAACCGCCCCCAGCCCCTCCAAGTCCTGTCCCCATGGGGAGAGGAGCAAAGGACCCCCAGCCTGCCCCCAAACTGGGCAGGGACAGCAAGGGGCTCCCCCAGCACCCGGGGGGCTCCCCAGTAACCCGGGGGGCTCCCCAGAACCCGGGGGGCTCCCCAGCACCCGGCTCCTGCCTCAGCCCCTGCCCCTCGGCCGCTTTTACGGTAGTCGCTATCAAATGTCAATTATTGGGAGTGAGAAACAACAAACATTGTAATTCAGCGCAGTCACAACATCCTCTGAGAGTGTCTGAGGCTGTCCGGCCGGTGACAGGGCGATTAAGGGGACCTGCAACCCCTCCTGCCTCGGCCCTATCGGCCCCATCAGTAAACAGGGATGGAGACAGGGTGGCTGTGGCCCTGGGACAGAGGATGAAAGGCTGCTGGGGAATGGAAGCTGCCCGCAGCCTCTCTCCCTCCCTTCCAACCCCACACACCCCCCCGAGGCAGGATTGCACAGATAAGGAGCTCCCACCTCCTTCCAATCCCTGCGAACGCCAAGAGGAGCCCTGGCTGCTGCTCCTAACGCGGTGGGCACTGCAGACACCTGTCTGGGAAAAGAGGAACCTCAGCCCAAGGGGAATCTGCCTGCCCAGAGAGCCACGGGGACTTGGGGGATGTGGCAAAGGGACCAAAGCAGGGGGACAGGGCACCTGGGCAGCCCAGGAAGAAGCAGAGGCCACCTCCCCTCTTTTGGAACCATCCCCAAGGCTCCACGAGGGCTCTGTCTCATCTCTCCAGAGGGGAGAGAGGCAGCAGAGCGACCAGAAAATTCCCTGCCTGGAGAGAGCCAAGGGTGTCCCCCAAGAGCTCCAGGAGAAGAGAAGGGAGTGGGGCAGGAGAAAGCTGGGTTTACACTGATGGGTGGTGGGGGACAGTCACAGTTTGGGGGACACAGTTTGCCTGAGCTGTCACCACTGCAGAGCTCAGCCAGGGACAGAGCACACAGGGAGCTCTCAGGAGGACAAGTCCTGGGTTTCCATGGGGCCAGGCACTAAGACTGAGCTAAAACTTGAACTTTCAGAAACCAGCCCTGAGCAGGGCCCTTCATTAAGTTGACAAACGAGATAGACAGCAGTGAAACTTCAAGAAAAGACACAGAAAAAATAACTCCCCACATCAACACAGAACCCTTCTCACATACTCCCAGCATCCCTTCCTTTCCTCAGACCCTGTTATTTTCTTCAAACATGTTTATTTTCCTCCCATAATAACTCGGAGCTACAGCTATCAAGAAATCTGACTGTCTGGTGGGATTTTCCTTGCAGGGGCTGTTCTGGGCACCAGCTTTGGGTCTGATTTCAGGACTGCACTGTGCTCATTCTCAGCAGGGATGAAGAATGCTCCCACTTCCCAAAGCTTCCCGGTTGCTGTGGGAATTGCATCAGGAGCAGAGGCAGGGCAGGATGGGGGCTTGGAGCCGGCTCAGAAAGTGATTTCTGCAGAGGACGCAGCTGGGCAGCGCTGGCAGGGGCAGCAGCAGCCGCGGTTAAAGACCTTCCATTCGCTGCATTAATGGGCCGTGGAAGGAGATCCAGGAGGAATGAAGCCCCAGCACGCTGATATGGGCAGGGGGTGGATCATTTCCCTATTCTCATCTCTCCAGCTCAGCCCACAGGGTCAGGCGGGGGCAAAAGGTCCCCCCAGGACTTCCAAAAGCACCGGGGTTGTGCTTCTCTGAGCCCAGCCCTCTGAAAGGCTCAGAAAAACCGCACCTACCAAATCTGTGCCTGAAGGGTTTCCCACCTCCAGAGCAGCACCAAAAGCCTGTCTAAGGAAAGGTTATTCCAGAGGGAAGCGCAGGATGCTGGCGTTTCCCCAGGGAACCCGAAATCAGAGATCCTCCCAGCGCCCGGGGGCGTGCTAAGGGCTGCAGGAAAAACGCTTTTAATAAGATTTGCACTTGGATTTGATCTCGCCCTTCCCTCAGATTTTTTGGGGATTATACAGCCTGGCACTGGCATTCACGGCTCTGCTCAAACCCAGGTTTTTTTGGAGAATTCAGTGCCCCAGCTCCACCTGAAGGTGACAGGGTGAGATCAGCTCAGTCTTCCTGAGACAAACTGCACATTTACCCAAACTCTTTGGAATTCACACAATTTGTACGGGAACAAGTTGTCAGCTGCAAGGGACTGATACCGAATCCCCTGCCTTTAGCACTTTTGTAGGAACTGGAGTAATTGTTTTTCCCCCCAAAAACAGCCGTGGAGTTCCTAAAATGCCAGAATTTTATTCCTTAAACTCAAGGAGCTTTCAGGTAGGAAATTACTCTCTGGAGTCCGAAAACAAGATACGGTCCTGGCAGGAATTAAGTGTTTAAATGTTCCTGAGAAGCTCGGCAGGAAAACAACCGATCAACAACCCTCTCTCCACAGCCCCTAATTCATCTCCCTGACATCAGTTTAGATCAGTATCGGCAGTAAGTGATTTCTTCTTAATGGGGATTATTAACAAGAATCAACACCTTTAAAACGCCACTCCCAAAGCGAGAAAGGGATGGGCTTTCAGGCTGGCATCCGATTTTTTCACTCCTGGGTGGTTTATTACCTAAAACATGAAATAATCGCTGTATTTTGAGGCGGAGAAGGGGAACAGAGATTTCTCCCAGCAGATCAAGAGCTGGCAACGCATTTCTGCAAGTTCATCAATCAAGGTTGGGCAAAGTGACACAGAATAAATTGCTTGAAGATCTCTACCAGCCTCCTGCAGTCATTTTAAACCCTGCCACTCCACGTTTCATGCAGCACGACCCAATTCTGAGCATCCCAGCCACATTTCCCATTGTCCTGCCCAGCCTGGTGCTGATGGGCTGCTGAGGTGAGGAAAAACACGCGAGCTCCTCTGCCTTTGCATGAAGGAGTCGCTGCAACTTCAAATGAAATAGAAATTATTTCAGTGGAGCCTGGCTGAATGTGCCGAGACAGAAAATAAATTCTTTCCCAGAAACTGAGTACCCAGGAAGAGAAATTTCTCCCATTTTTTGGGCTCCCAATCCCAATTTTTGGGGAGGTTTAGGGCTCCCAGTGGGGTTTTATGGGCTCCCAAGTCCATTTTTGGGGGTGCTAATCCCATTTTTTCGATTTCCAATCCCGTTTTTGGGGTTTTTTAGGGCTCCAAATGGGAGAAGAGCATTAGAAGAGCAAAGCATTTTTAAACCAGCTGTGTGTGTGAGCAGCTGGAGCACCGACTCCACTGAGACTGTAACATATCTCTCAAGTCATCCCTGCTTTAAAAGAACGTATTTCTGGGTGTCAGTAAAGAATCAGGGCCAAATGGCTAAAGCACAGGTCTAAACCAGGAGATTGGGCATTTTTCCCAACCCCATTAGAGAGGAGCATCGTGTTTGCAGCAGGTTCAGCTCAGTCCTGCCCGCTGAGAGCAGCCCAGGGGTTCTCCCACACAAAATCTGCAGAGTTTACTCAATTCCTGCTAGGTTTGGAGTGCTGGAAAAATAAATTGTCCATTAAAAAAACCCAAAAAAGCCCCACCCTTGTAGATGGGAATAAATCTTAGTGGTCAAAGTTTTATTTTTTAGGATTGGTTAAGATTAATTTGTCTTGGGGGAGATATCCTGGAGCTAAATTGTTATTTGTGGAGATGGGTAAGCTGAAGGCATGAATGACACTGCTGTGGAGAGGGTAAGGTCAGGAGTTAACAGGCTCAAATGGGAGGAAATAAAAGATTTGTTGAGTATTTCAGATTCTGGGAGCTGCTCTCAAAGCCAGCTAGTAAGAAACAAATGGGATTTAGAAAGGCATTTTAGAGTTTTAGTCCTGGAACCAACAAATCTGGTTGTTGAACAAGTTATTAACAACCACAGCTCAGAACACCTGCTCTCAGTCATTTTCCAGGGGTTTTGTGCATTTGGAGCAGGATTTGGTGCTCTCTGCTGCCACAAGAACACAGCAGAGTTTATTTTAGCACAGCAGACATTTCCTAAATTGATTACATCGTCCTCCAGCACAAGCTTGGATCACAACACTGACTCCTAGAAATTGTCCCCAAATCCCATTTTCCTGGCCCAGGATGTTTTTGTATTCTTAATTATCTGTGCAGAAGAGA